ATCTGTACCAGTGTACATCCTCTGGTCTAGCCTGATTTGTAAGGTAGAATTGGGATCATGATAGTGGAGGGGGGGGAGCATTAAAGAACAAGAGGAAAGTTGTATGTTTCATTGTTGCTATACTGCACCCTGACTGGCTCGTCTCCTCTCTGTGATCCTTCTGTAAGGGGATGTCCAGTTGCCTACAGATGGACTTAGGTCTCCACTCTGCACTGCCCCTCATCCACAATGATAGTTTTTTTTTTGTTTTTTGATGCCTGATACCTGATCCTATCAACACCTCATGATCACACAGGCTGGTATGCTTTTTCCATGTGGGTTTGCTGCTTCTCTGCTAGATGGCCGCTTCTTTAACTTTAAGCCTTTAAGAACCCAGACACTATATCTTTTGGGCACCATCAGCTTTCTTCATCACATTTGGTTATGCACCCGCTTTGTCTTCAGCGATTGTGCTGGGAGGGTGAGCATCACAGAATGCCAGGTTGTTAGAACAAAGTGTTCTTGCATTAAGGGAGGATATGAGTAGAGGCCCGAAGTCTGTCCACTACCTCAGTGTATTGCCATATAAATATATGTACATAGACCAATACCTCTATTTTATGAATTAATATATTTACATATGTACACACCTATGCTTATACCTCTATCCATAGCTTTCCTCTGTTTCCTTTTACCTGCCTACTTCTGCCTCTAGCAATTCCTCTCAGCAAGATTGGTTTTGCTCCAACATCCCAAGGATCTCTCTGTCATCCTTGTTGTTGATTTTAATTCCTTAGTTGTTCCCCTGTCTATGGCATTGTTTGCTGACCGCTCCCTTCCCCTGCCTCCTTCCCTCCCAAATCCCTCCCGGACCATCGTCTGTTACTTTCTCTTCACGCTTGCTTCCTATGCCTATCTATATAAGTAGGGAAACCAATAATAACAGAGACAAAAAAAAAGATTGGAAAGAAAAGAAAAAAAGCCATACATAATTCCAGGTCTGTCTACTGAACTTTATGACTATCTCCCCACTGGTCCTGGGGGAATTCCTGGAGCTGCCCCTCCTAGCCTGAAGTCTATTTTGTGGGCTCTTCATGGGCTTTGTGGCTTGGCTTCGCTCCCATTGCTCATCTGTTATGTTCCCTTCTTGAGTCACCTCACTGTGGGGTGGGGCATTCAGACCGAACTAACTCCTCACAGCTAGTGTCTCCAGTTTTGTCTCTGTCATGGTATGCTCCAGTGAGGGGACATGTCTGTCCTACAGTTCTCTCTGTGCCTTAGCAGCTCCATTCAGGGATATCGTCCTCCAGGCTTGGTGTGCCAAAATAGGGTCTTGAGAGTCCCTTTCTCTGTTTCCTTATTGTTTGCTTCGGTGTAGTCAGGGCATGCTGGCCCCTCTCCCCAACCTGTAGGTTTTGTGTTGCTCTCTGTAGCACTATTTCTAAGGGGCGGGTCAGAAAAATAAATTTCTTAAAAATTATTTTAGTAGGCTTAATCTTGACTTCTATTGGATATAAAAATGTAATTTTTTAATTTAGCTACTAGATCAGCAGTTATTAATATTTCTATTTTCAGCACTCATGTTACATTGAATATTTTTGTAGAACTGTAGACTAGAAATGATTTTTATTGCATCCTCAAAGCCCACTTTACACACACAATCATGAAGGTTAAACATACAACATCCCATGTGGTCAAAGAGCACACCGCCATAGACACACTCAAGCCTCCTCCCGTGAATGTCTCAGGGTGGCTTCCCCACAGACAACCCAGCACAAACACATCCTCCAGGCACAGCCGTGATCTGACATTGCTCTGTAGCACTGGTCTTGCCCACATTTTGTATCATTTCCATCATTCAATGTCCATGCTTCTCCTGTGGCAACCTCCCAACCCCATCTCCCCAAGGGGGTGGAGGAATTCAATGAGAGAAATTAAACAATCAGGAATGAGATTTTATCAGGTAGATATACACACTGGAGTGGCCACAAATAATTTCTGATTGTTTGGGGTTTGTTCTTTTGCCTGCCCTGCAACCCTCCACACAACCGAATTTTGCTCGGTTGAGGGGATCCGCCCTGTTGAAAATGCAGGGCCTGAACAGTCACCATCTGTCCCCTGTGTACAAAATAATATTCCAACACTACTCAAGACCTCCTTTGCCTCTCTGATGTTTTCTTTACATTGTATTTAAAATGATTTTCTAAAATGTAAACCTAGTGTACCAATATTTTAGTCTGCTGTCAGAGTAAGTAAAACACCCAATACTGCCTATAAATCACACATGGGCTGGTCCTAACTCTGGCTTTAACTCATAAAACAACCTCGAACCCCCTTCTATAATCCAGAAATTTTAGCTTTTCTGCAATTCACAGAACACAATGAATTGCCACAGGGACTTTGCACATGCTGTTTTTCTACCCGGAAGCCTCTTCTCTGTGGCTCTGTTTATTTACAGTGTGCTTCTTCAGTCTTTTGCTTGATTGTTTCTCCATGGGGGAAGCCTTATCTGTTATCTCCAACTTTGTCAAATCTGTCTTTACTAGCCTGTCACACCACCACGCCCTCCCCTCAGGAGCACTCATCACAGTTATAATTGTATACGCATTTATGACATAAGTTCTCTAGTCTATAAAATTTATGTCTGTTTTTTCATCAATATCTGCCCAGTATCTAGCACATGGCCCGCACACAGTAGGTGCTCAATGAATTTGCTGAAAGAATGCGTAATTGATTAGTTAACTATGCTTTAAACAGCCCAAAGGGTTGAATAGTTCAAAGAACTGAAAGAAAGAATGACAGTCACACCAGACTATTAAAATTTCAATGAGGCAAAAAACAAAGCTAATATAACAATGTAAACTGTAATAACAAGTACTAGGACCCTAGACCTTGATTCTGCTCTTAGATTGTGTTCTAGAAATCTTATTTTAAAGTCCAATTAAATAAATTTTGTGTGACTTAGAGTTCCTATATTGTCACCTTAAAAAGCTCTTATGTAGCAAATGCTAAAACAATTCTAAATATAATTTACTCTTTGATACTTTAGAGCACATCCGGGGAACTTGCAGTGCCTCAGGGCCATTATTGCAAACCCTAATTATCACAGCACAACTCAATGGTCACAGACAACATGGGCTTGCTTTCACAGTCTGTCACAAATGCTGGACCAGCGTTTTACAGCTGATCCTTCTGCTGCGCCCCCTGCTGAAGAGAGCACCCTGGAAGGCAAGCACGCAGGCAGGCATAGCTTCCACAAGCTTTGTGGGGCCAGAGCGGTCACCAGACTTCATGCCCCTGGCTTTCATGTCACTTACGATATTAAGAACAGCACTAATGTAATGAAAAGAATGATTTCGGTTAGGTTTTGAGACATAATCCTGCCTCCTTCATTAACCAACTGTGTGGCCTTAGAAAATGCATTTGACCTCTTTAGACATCTATAGAACATTAAACTAGACCAGTAGTTGAGACATTTCTGCTACCAAGCTTTTCTTGTTAATAAGTTTTCATCGTGGACCTGTGCGCCAAAATACTTAATCTAGAGAAATCCACTTACTGGGCAATAATAAAGTTTCTCATTTTTGTTTCTTTGGCTTGCCAACAATTTCAATAAATCTCCATCAGTGACAACAACAAAAAAAGTGTTGGGGAGGAAGCTGTGGAAGGCTGAGGGCCTGTGAATAACGGTGAGAAGGAGAAGGCAGGCACTTAAACCCAATTCAGTGTTCTCTTTTTAAAACAAAGATCTATACACCCGAGTACAGTAGCGAGGGGGAACGAGATGGACTTTATCTGTTGCTTCTAGGTGCCTCTAACTGGCCCCAGGATGAAACACTGCCTTGTCCTCCACTGTCCTCGAGCCCACGGTTGCTGCCACTCGGCCAATTCATCCTTTTGGGGATCTTTCTCTTTTTTGCTACCCTCTGCTTCACCAAACATGTTCTTTTCCGGAGACTGGTTTCTCTTGATAACACGCCCAACGTATGGGAGATGAATTCTTGCCATCCTTGCTCCTAAGGCGCATTTTGGCCATACTTCTTCCAAGACAAGATTTGCTGGTTCCTCTGGCAGTCTCTATTTTGAACATGTCATTAGCACCATCCTTCAAATGTAACAAGCATTGTCATCTTCCTTATTCATTGTCCAACTTTCACATGCATATGAAATGACTGAAAATACCACGGTCAGGCACATTTTAGTCCTCAAAGTGACATCCCGGGCTTGAAGAGGTCTTGTGCAACAGATTGCCAGACAAAATGTGTCCTTTGATTTCCTGAGTGCTGATTCCATGAGCATTGACTGTGAGTCCAAGCAAGATGAAGTCCTCGGCAATTCAATCTTTTGTCCATTTATCACATTCCTGATTGGCCCAGGTGTGAGGATTTGGGTTTTCTTTCTTTTTTTTTTCTTTTACACCTAATTTTATTATACAATGGACATGAGCATGAGATCTTTTTTTATATGAAGACTGCTCACCCTTATGTGAAAAAATGTTGGCATACCCGTTCAATCAAGAACTGTTGAGTGAAATATCTGGTTAAGGAAATGGAAGTGAAAAACGAGCAAATTACCTATTAGAAACCACAGGGGTCTCTTCTTCAAACAGTAGAGGGGGGCCTCCTCTAATTCTTCAACATCAAATTCACAGTCCTACAGAGTTCATCAAACTCAATCATACTTTATGATCCCCAAAGGAAAGAACTGAGGGAACTCATGGATAATTTTTATAGCTTCATTGTAGAGTCCAAGATCAAAAGGATGGTTATCTTCTTTAAATTGGACATAGGATGCACACATTATAGTTGCCTTGGCTGTTACTCTTCCAACAACTTCCACAATTCCATAAATTTCTTCATCAAGAGGCTCCATTAACTCAATGGTTCCATTTTTTCCTTCTCCATCTGCAAGAATAAACATTTTTCCAGTGGGATGGATCTTTTCCAGCTTCCCTAAGAAGCACACGGGCTGGTCGATGAACTGAGCTAACATGCTGGCGTTCACGTGCGTCGGCACCTCCAGCATGTCCACCATGATCGCGGTCCTCGGGTTTTCTTTATATTTAGTTGAAATCCAGACTGAGGGCCATGATTCTTGGTCTTCATCAGCAAGTGCTTCAACCTTGCTTTCAGCAAGCAGGGTTATTTCAGCTGCGTATTGAAGGTTATTAATAAACTTTCCTCCAATTCTGATGCAGCCGTCCCCTTCAAGAGTCCAGCTTCTTGGATGGTTTGCTGAGCACACAGTTTGAGTACATGAAGTGAAAGGATACAGCCCTGATGCACACCTTTCCTAATTTTCAACCATGCAGCACTCCCTCGCTCACTCTGAGTAACTGGGTTATAGATCAGTGCCACGTGAACACAAGGAAGCGTCCTGGAATTCCCGTTTTTCTCAAAGCTACCCATAGGGTGTTATTAGCTAGACAGTAGAGTACTTTTACATAGTCAATAAAACACAAGTAAGCATCTTGCTGGTATTCTCTGCTTTCGGCCAAGAGCTATCTGACATCAGCAATGATACCATGACCTCTTCTGAGTCCAGTTTGAATTTCTGGCCGCTCTGACAATGTGCTGCTGCAATTGCTTTTTGAATCGTCTTCAGCAAACTTTTACTTGCATGTGATATTGTGAATAATTTCCACATTCTGTTAGGTCACTTTTCTTTGAATTAGCCACAAATATGAATCTCGTTCCCTTAGTCAGCCAGGTAGCTATCTTCCACAGTTCCTGGTATAGACCAGGGAGTGCTTCCAGTTCTTCA